CATTTAAAAAACTCAAATAATCCATTGTTTTGAGCCGGTGCTGTGTAAACAATGCCACCGACATGTACCTGGAGGCGAATTTGGACGGCTTCAGATCCCAAACGTAACCCGGGTTTTATTAACGGCTATGGGAGGCAAAATTTTTGCAATTAAATAAGCGGTATGCGAAATAATCGCTATGTGATGCCATCGTTATGCGGGGGTCCACTGTAGTAAGGCATGGGTCACGAGGGAAATTTTCGTCGAGTGGTTCAATGAAGTGACTCAAGAAATCGTAATGACACGATTGCAAACAAACCATACCCCCAGCCGGGATTGAACCCGCGGTCATAGAGTCTCAAAACTCCAGCCCGTCGCGTTAGCCACTAGACCAGCTAGCCACAATAAGATTCATCCAACTAGGTATATTTCTACACCATAGGAAGGTTAGCACAGGCACCACTGTGACCACAAATGCAAGTTTTTACAGTCGAATCTCCAGCTAGCGTGGCCGTGACGAACTCTAGCTCAAGTCCCTTCACTGGTTTGTTTGCAATTGTGTCATTACGATTTCTTGAGTCATGTTGACGGCAGTGAAGGGACTTGAGCTAGAGTTCGTCACGGCCACGCTAGCTGGAGATTCATCTGTAAAAACTTGCATTTGTGGTCACAGTGGTGCCTGTGCTGACCTTCCTATGGTGTAGAAATATACCTAGTTGGATGAATCTTATTGTGGCTAGCTGGTCTAGTGGCTAACGCGACGGGCTGGAGTTTTTAGACTCTATGACCGCGGGTTCAATCCCGGCCAGGGTTTTTTTTTTTTTTTTTCAATGAAGTGTTTGGCCCTAGTGTGAAGGAGTATCTCCTGGAAAAGAAATTGGATCTCAAGTGCCTGCTAGTAATGGACAATGCACCTGCTCATCCTCCAAACTTGGATGACCTAATTTTCGAGGAGTTTGGGTTCATTACAGTAAAGTTCTTGCCCCCGAATACCACTCCTCTCCTCCAGCCCATGGACCAGCAGGTTATTGCAAACTTTAAAAAACTCTACAAAAAAAAGCAATTTTCACGGGTGCTGACTGTGACCACAGCACTCACTTGACCCTAAGGGAATTTTGGAGGAACACTTCAGCATCCTCCACTGCATAACCCTTATAGGTATGGCTTGGGAGGGAGTGATACCAGGACTTTGAACTCTGCCTGGAGAAAATTGTGGCCAGATTGTGTCACAAGAGGGATTTTGAAGGATTTGGGACTGACCCTAATGAGCCTATGTCTGTTGTAAAATCAATTGTGGCACTGGGGAGTTCCATGGGGTTGGATGTGGGTTTGGAGGATGTGGGAAAAATTGGTGGAAGACCACAATGAAGAGCTCACCACTGAGGAGCTGCAAAAACTTCAGCAGGAAGAGCAACACTTCGCACTCAGAATCTTGCTGCAGAGGAGGAGGAAGAGAATGGAAGAAGGTGCCTTCTTTAGAAATTAAAGAGATTTTTACTATGTGGGGTAAGATGGAAAGCTTTATGGAGAACTAACCCTAACAAGGTTGTCGCCAAGCCATATTGGCAACATGTACAGCGACAAAGGGCTTGGGCCATTTTAGGGAAGTGTAAAGAGACGCCAGAAACAGAGCTCTCTCCACAGTTATATTTGTGAGACAGGGACTCCAGTGACTCTCAAGGTGGTCCTAGTGGCATTAAGAAACAAGAAGAGAAGCAACCCCAGAAAAGCAAATGGGACCTGAGGGTTGATGGAAGAGGATTCCCCTTCCAAACTAAAAAACCCTCTCTCCTCTCAGTCTCCCCTACACTTTAAAAAAAATCTCTAATAAAGGTAAGTGTTATGCTGTTAATGTTTCATTCATCACTTCCCATTGTATTGTTTATGTACTACATGTATATTTCAGGTTAAAATTTTTTTTGTTTTAATATTTCTGGGTGTCAGGAACGGATTAATTGTATTTACATTATTTCTTATGGAGAAAATTGATTCGTAAATCGTAAATTTTGTTTATAGTAATGGCTCCAGGAACGGATTAATTACGAAAAACGAGGGACCACTGTACTTTGTAACCGCGCTGAGAACATTAGTCAGTCAGGCGTCATTACCACAGGTCTTAGTGATCATTTCATCATTTACTGCACCAGGAAAATCACTAGGGATAGGATAGTCCTACACAGGACAATAAAAATGAGGTCAACTAGAAACTACAGTAAAGAAACACTGGTAAATAGGCTACACAATTGTGACTGGACAGAGATAACAAGTTGCACGGACGTAAACGATGCCTGGGAAAAATTCAAAACAATGTCCAGTACCATCCTTGATAATATTGCACCAGTTAAAGAGGTTAGGATTAAACAAAGAACTGAACCCTGGATGACTACTGAGATATTAGATAATATGAAATTCAGAGACCAGCTGCTAAAAAGATTTAAAGTAAACAGACAGGATATTGCAGCACTAAATGAATTCCAAAGGATGAGGAACAGAGTACAGAGACTTATAAAAGGAGCAAAGGCAAAGCACTATTGCTCAAAAATTGAAGAGTATAAGCATAACCCCAGAAAGTTCTGGCTACAACTAAAACAGTTGGGGTATAGCCATAAGCCAGTAGATAGGTCTAACATAGTACTCACTATCAATAATGAGGTATGCCACGAAACATCTAAGGTGACAAATTGCTTTAATTCCTACTACACATCTGTTGCATCAACACTAGTAAGTAAACTACCAGCTGCATCAAATACCTTTAACACAGACTCTGATAAGTTTCAAACATACTATACCAATAAAGGGGTAACCCCAAACAGTTGTCAACTAGTAAGTGTATCTCATGACTTTATTCAAAAAGAATTAAGCAGGTTAAACCCAACTAAGAGCACAGGCCCTGATAACATCCTGTCTAAGTTCCTAAAAGATGGTGCTTCTGAACTGTCAATCCCTATTGCTCACATAATAAATCTATCAATCACCACTAATACCGTACCGGAGGGGTTCAAGGAAGCCAGAGTTACTCCTATCTTCAAGAAAAATAGTAGGTCTGATATCAGCAATTATAGGCCTGTTAGTATACTCAGTATAATATCCAAAATTCTAGAGAGGGCAGTGTACTCTTAAGTATTTAAGTACCTTAATGACAACAACATTCTCCATAGCTATCAGTCGGGCTTTAGAAGATCTTACTCAACCGACACCTCCCTAATTAATCTGATGGATTGCCTGAGAAGTGAAATGTCAAAGGGGAACCTCATAGGTATGGTAACCTTAGACCTGCGAAAGGCCTTCGATACTGTCAACCACAATATATTATGTAAAAAACTTCAAGCTATCAGTATAGGTTCTGTAGACTGGTTTAAGTCCTACCTTAGCAACAGGAGACAAATTGTCAAAATCAACAAAGCGGAATCAGAACCCCTGCCGATAGCATGTGGAGTTCCTCAAGGTCCCTTGTTATTCTTATGTTATGTCAATGACATGCCTATCAGTGTCAAGTGCAAACTCCTACTGCATGCAGATGACAGTGCCCTATTAGTGTCGGGTAAAGACCCACAAGATGTAGCTAATGTTTTAACACTGGAACTGGAGTCCTGCAGCAAATGGTTAGTAGACAACAAACACCTTGGGAAAACTGAAGCCATTCTCTTTGGCACGAAACATAAAATGAGAAGGGTAAATAATTTTAATGTCCAGTGTAATGGGGAGCCCATCACTTTGGTTTCATCAGTAAAATATCTGGGAATCCCCTTTGACCCATGCATGTCAGGAGAATTGATAGGGAACAGTGTAGTAAAGAAAGCAAATGCCAGACTGAAGTTCCTGTATAGACAAGCACAGTGTCTACCTACTGAGGCTCGCAGGACCCTATGTCTAGCCCTTATACAATGCCATATGGATTACGCTTGCTCTTCATGGTACTCTGCCTTGACAAAAAAACTGAAAGATAGACTGCAAATCACCCAGAACAAAATCGTAAGATTCATCCTGGGGCTGGGACCAAGAGAACATGTAGGCCAGGATGAATTACAGCAGTTGGATATGCTGAATGTTGAAGACAGAGTAAAACAACTGAAGCTAAATCTTGTTTATAAAATTGCTCACAAACAGTGTCCAGAATATCTTGCTGTCAGTTTTGTCAAGGTTGGGAACCAAAGCAATCATAGTACTAGGGGGAGAGAGCACAACTTTGTAGTACCCACAGTCATTGGCCAGGCTTCAAACACCTTTTATTGTACAGCAATAAAGGATTGGAACAGACTACCCACACATGTCAAAGCCAGTCATAGCATGAACCAGTTCAAGAAGAGTGCCAAAAGGTGTCTGATGAATGTAGCTACAGAAAGGGAGGGGAATGATTTTCTATTTTTTAGCTAACATACGTGTAAATTTGACCTTATTCCTAGTAATGACCCCTATATTGTAGATAGTCTTAATGACCCTCGTGTGGTAGATAGTCTTTTTAGTATGATAATAAGATGTTATCTTCATTATAGAATAATAAGAAAATATTATAACCTTTATATTATAATAATAAGGTAAAAGAACCACAGTGGAAATAAGTCACTCTGTCTGACTTTTTTGGGTTATCCTAGATTCTCTACACATATGCTGCTATGTATGATAATTCTATGTCACTGTATTTGTGTATACCTGAATAAACTTACTTACTTACTTACACTGCTACCTCATGATGTCTACCACTGATGTCACCAAAGAATCGAACGTTTCTGCTATTCTGAGCTCAATTCAAGGTACTTTTCATCGTGAAACCAATTAAAATCATATTTATTTTTGTAGTATATCTTCCATTCTATCACATGAGACCAAATAAAACGAGAATACAACCATACAAACCATACGAAAATATACCGCTAAGGGGAGGCTAATGACTGAGAAGTGAACTCCATTATTTATGGTCGATTTCTTTCATTTATGGTATATGTTAAGAAGCATCTTTTCGTCATACACTACCCACATTTCAATAATATAGTCCAACAAACAACTGAGATCCAATTCCCTAGGTCAAGAGAAAGAGTCCCCTCACCAGTGTCAATTTACGTCCCTTGAGACCCGTTCGCATCTGGAAATTTTGCTCGCGTCTGGAAGAAAAAAATCGACCGAGCAGCTGCTCATATCTGGAAAAGCTCGCACATGGATGCACTCGTAAGTAGAGGTTCCACTGTATTTCTACTGGGAAATGCTAAAACTGTAGGGGTCATACTGCCCTTGGATTATTGAAAATAATCAAATTTGATCCAAGGAAGGAGCACTGCTAGGGATGTCTTGTTGCTTGTCAAGAAATTGTAACTACCCTTCCATTCCTCAGATCAAACCTAATTGCCTCCTATTCCCAGCTCAGTTGAACCTGTATGAGATCAGTACTTAACTAATAGGCTTAGTCTTTGCATCAGACAAGTTTCTTCACTTCTTTGGCATCATTATAAAGTCAATGCTTACCCTATTATTCCGAGTGTGTAAAGTAATTTTGTGGCCAGTTGAGGTTAATTTGCTTGGTTATTGTATCTGTTAATGATTCCTAGGGTCATCTCCATCTGGGTGCTGCCTCAGACCAATCCTTTAAAATTGGAAAAGAAATATTACAGGAATAAGGCCGATTTTTATAATAGTCTACCTAAAGGACCCTTAGGGGGGTCAATGGCCCCACAGCCCAGTCACAGACCATGCCTTTTGAAGGATCAAGGCCTGATCAACCAAGCTGTTACTGTTGGTTGCACACAGTCCATCTGAACCACAGCCTGGTTAGTCAGGCTCTGATCTAAAGAACTTATTCAGGGGGAATTACCAGACATTTGCTGGTAATTCCCCTTATGCATGGAGAAAGGGCAATGAAGAGTCAGAGTGCTGGCCACATCCCCGCTCTTTAGTGGAGGTATTCTGCAATCTGTTAAATCTCTTGTTGCCATACAGAGTGATTTCAGTGTTCAGGTTTGGAACCAATCCCTCCAGAATTTTCCAGTTGTAAATTATATACCTTTCTTGCCTACATTCCAAAGAATGCAGATGAAAGGAGTTAAAGTATTTCCAGTAGTTCAGGTGCTTGATTGAGTGTACACAAGCTGTGAAAGTTCTCTCTACATTTTCCAGGTTAATCAAGAGAGAACTAGTGACTTTAAGAGTATCATTATTGCCTCAGCATCTCTTAGTCTTGTAAGTTCTAATTATCCAACCAATCATTTTCTTTGTGGTAGCAATGGCAACATTATGATAATTGAATGTGACATCTTCTGACATCATTACTTCTAAGTCTCCCACATGTGATGTTCGCTCTATTGAATGGTTTGTGTTTGTCCTGTATTCTGTTAGTCTTCATTTCCTCCATTTTTTCCCCCAGCAGAGCAACTGAAATTTATTCTTGTATGAGGCCCACTGGAAGACTTGATTTATAGTGGCCTAAAGGTTTTTTTCATCTTCCACAGGTGCCGCTCTTAACAAAGGATGTTACAGTGCTATGATTTACATCCTTCTCGAAGTCACATATAAGAATGAAAAACAAGTGGGGTAAGTACTGTGCCTTGAAGGACAGAGCTTTTCACTGTGGCAGCCTCTAACTTCCCTCTGTTTACTACCATTCTCTGGATTCTGTTTGTTAAGAAGTTAAATATCTATCTGTCCACTTTTCCAGTTATTCCTCTTGCACACTTTTTGTGCAATTACACCATGGTTGCATTTATCAAACACTTGCAAATTTAGCTGTGGCATCTCTCATGCCCTGAATAAAGTTCTCAGCAATGATCAGTACAGTAAGTGAGAAAGCAAATTTGCAAATTTTAATTAAAAAAAAATCAAGCTGAAAAATAAACATTATGGTGGCCTGGTGGCTAAAGCTCTCACCTTCACACTGTGAGAGCCCGGCTTCAATTCTTGGCAAGGGTTGAAACATTGGGCATGTTTCCTTACACCAGTTTCCTATGTTCATCCATAAGTATAAAATGGGTACCTGGGTGTTAGTCAACTGGTGTGGGTCACATCCCAGGACAAAATTGACCTAATTTGCCCAAAATGTTCTGCATAATTAGCAGCTTTCTATATAGTACAGCCTCTCCTAACTTAGTGACATACTCGTTTACCGATGCCTCGGACTTAACCCTTTCAGGGTCCAAGGCCCAAATCTGGAGTCACGCACCAGTGTCCAAGAATTTTCAAAAAAAAAATTTGTTATTTTTTCTTATGAAATCGTAGAGAATCTTTTTGTGAAGGTAATAAAACAAAAAGTACGAAATTTGGTGGAAAATTGACGAAATTATGCTCTCGCGAATTTTGATGTGTCAGCGATATTTACGAATCGGCGATTTTGCCGACTTTGACTCCCATTTTAGGCCAATTACATTATTCCAATCAACCAAATTCTTAGCTATTTCACTAGTATTACTTCTATTCTATCGATTGAGCACAAGAAATCGCCAAGTCAACTGTTTCAACTACAAAATAAAGTGATCGGAAATTGTTAATTTGGCCAATTTAACACAAAGTTCAAAATATTCCAATTTCAAAATAGGGTCCAGAATAAACAATGTAGGTATTCCTGGCACTAAACTAACATTTCCTCTGTTCATTAGTCATGTTTTGAGGCTTTACAAATAAATTCCATTTTGATTTTTATTCACATAATGAATTTTTATTCACACCAAAAAATAGAAGATTTACTGCTATGCAATACTGTAATAATTGTATAAATATCATCACCATATTTGTGAATGTATATTAGACCCACCAGCTGACGTGTATTAGACGTGTGAGGTCGTTTGTTTACTCTTGAATATCGGCAAAAATTTAACATTTCCGCTACTTTGAGCTCAGTTTCAAGCCATTTCCAGTGCTAAAACCAATCAAAATCATCTCTATTTCTGTAATATGTCTTCCATTCTATCAAATGAGACCAAGAAATCGCAAATACAACTATAAAAAACATACGAAAAAACACTGCAAAGTTGCTGTTTTAATCAAAAAATCATGATTTCAGTTTTTTTCTCTCATTATACACAGTGTGCTGCAGGATCTGTTTTATGTGGTGCACACATACCACATAGATGTATTCTCTCATATCTAGGCCCAAATGTACCACTCACAGTTTATCAGAGTGAGCTGAGTTCATGGCGTAGATCTACGGTTTGGACACTCACCATAAAGCTGTAGATCTACGGGACGGACCCTGAAAGGGTTAAGACTGGCTCTCTGATCAGTATTCATACCTAAATAGTGTATATTAGAGCTAATTTCCTCTATTCTGTTTATTTCAATATACAGTACACTATTGTATAAACATTTAAAAATACAGTGGACCCCCGCATAGCGAACGCCTTGCATAGCGAACAATCCTCATAGCGAACGCTTTGTTCGCTAAAATTTTGCCCCGCATAGTGGACAAAAACCCGCTCAGCGACCTTCGTCCGAGACGCGTCCAATGTGCGGCCTCAGCCAGCCTCACATGTGCCGCCCGTCCCATTGTTTACCAGCCAGCCTCCGCGGTAACATTCAAGCATACACTCGGAATATTTCGTATTATTACAGTGTTTTCGGTGCTGTTTCTGGAAAATAAGTGACCATGGGCCCCAAGAAAGCTTCTAGTGCCAACCCTGTGGTAAAAAGGGTGAGAATTAGTATGGAAATTAAGAAAGATTTTGAAGGGTTTGGGGCTAACCCTGAGAAGCCTATGCCAGTTGTGGAATCCATTGTGCCTACTTCAAAAATTAAGGAAATGTGTGCACAGTGGGTTGAACTGCAAACCTTTATGGATGAAAATCACCCTGACACAGCTGTTGCAAGCCGTGCTGGTGACTATTTCAATGACAATGTTATGGCCCATTTTAGACAAATCGTAAAGGAACGGGAGGTACAGAGCTCTATGGACAGATTTGTTGTGCGACAGAGGTCCAGTGACTCTGAAGCTGGTCCTAGTGGCATTAAAAGAAGAAGGGAAGTAACCCCGGAAAAGGACTTGCTACCTCAAGTCCTAATGGAAGGGGATTCCCCTTCTAAACACTAACACTCTCTCTCCCCTCCTCCATCCCATCAATCATCACCAGATCTTCAATAAAAGTAAGTGTCATGTAATTGTGCATGCCTTTTTCAGTTTGTGTGTACTAAAATTAACATTTTTTTGTTGGTAAAAAAAATTTTTTTTCATACTTTTGGGTGTCTTGCACGGATTAATTTTATTTCCATTATTTCTTATGGGGAAAATTAATTCGCATAGCGAACATTTCGCATAACGACCAGCCCTCTTGCACGGATTAAGTTCGCTATGCGGGGGTCCACTGTATACCAGAAATGCTATAAATGGTGCAAAGGTGATATTATAACATCAAAGATGGTTGACAAACTCACTACCATTATAGTATGCTCCTCACTTAGCGACGAATTCATTTAACGATGTGGTCTTAGGAACGGAACTCCGTCATTAAGTGAGAAGAGGCTGTATATATATATATATATATATATATATATTAATTATTACAGTTACATTCATAAATGGAGAGGAGAGTGGTAAACCCATTAGGGTTATACATTGTTTAGAAAATGGGAGTCAGTCAAGTTAGATTCAACTCCTTGGATCAAAAGAGCCAATCTGTCATAATGTTAAGAAAAAGTGGGCAGAAGCCACACAAGCCAATGGCTTAGGACAAGTTATTATAGTAGTATTACCAAGCTGTATCACATGTCTTGAATGAAAATGACTGCCACCATATACTGCCATTCAGCAAAAAGATGTGCTAAGATGAAGTAAAGGATCAACTACAGGATAGCCTCAGTAGTAACTATACTGGTGTGGGGATAAATACAACTATGGGATTCCAGGTACAGTACCATGCATGTCTCCTGTTGACCATATGTTCTAGTAATTTGTAAAAGGTGGAAGACAAGGTTGGCCCTTGAGACACTTTGAGCAAAGTGATGTCCAGTTGCAGTTATACAGTATCTTTAGCTAAATCAGCCATGTTTATACCATCGATGGAAATGCCAAAGCTGGGTCAGGTGATTTTCCCCACCAATTTCTGTACTTTTTCCAAATGGCAGATTTACAGGTGGAAACATTGAAAGATATGTAAGCATATAAACAGTTACCTATGCTGAGCATTTCATAAGAACATAAGAAAGAAGGAACAATGCAACAGGCCTACTGACCTATGTGGAGCAAGTCCATGCCCCCCCCCCCCAGATTAGCCCAATGACCCACCCAGTCTGGTCACCTCCACTTAAGGATGGAGCATGGCACCAGACCCAGCAGCACAAGCTAGTCAAGTCCAACCCACACCCACTCATGTATTTATCTAACCTATTTTTAAAACTACACAACGTTTTACCCTCAATAACTGTACTCGGGAGTTTGTTCCACTCATCCACGACTATTACCAAACCAGTGCTTTCCTATATCCTTCCTGAATCTGAATTTTTCCAATTTGAAACCATTGCTACGAGTCCTGTCTTGGCTGGAAATTTTCAGCATGCTATTTACATCCCTTTTATTTATTCTTGTTTTCCATTTATACACCTCGATCATATCCCCCTAATTCTATGCCTTTCGAGAGAGTGCAGATTCAAGACCCTCAGTCTATCCTCATATGGAAGATTTCTGATACATGGGATCATCTTTGTCATCCTGTATGTTTTCCAGAGCAATTATATCCATTCTGTAATACGGTGACCAGAACTGAGCAGCATAGTCTAAATGTGGCCTAACCAAGGATATATAGAGTTGAAGAACAACCTGAGGACTTCTATTATTTATACTTCTACATATGAAGCCAAGAATTCTGTTAGCTTTATTGCGAACACTAATGCACTGTTGTCTTGGTTTTAGATTACTGCTAACCAGAACTCCTAAATCCTTTTCGCAATCAGTAGTATTAAGATCTACATTATTTAGCTTATATGTGGCATGGTTATTTAACTGTCCAACATTTAGAACTTTGCATTTGTCAATATTAAACTGCATCTGCCACTTCTCCGACCATTGCATCAGTATTCAAATCATCTTGGAGTGCTCTAGTGTCCTCATTAGTGAGCCTATTTTGGTGTCATCAGCAAATTTGCTTTTGTCGCTACTTATTCCCTCATCTATGTCGTTTATGTAAATTGTGAACAACAACGAGCCCAACACTGACCCCTGAGGAACACCGCTTGTGACATGCCCCCATTCTGATTTCTCCCCATTTATGCAAAAACTCTGCTGCCTATTTGTCAGCCATGCCTCTACCCAGGAAAAAATTTCTCCTCCTATTCTGTGTGCCTTAAGTTTCCTCAATAGCCTCTGATGTGGAACTCTATCGAAAGCCTTACTGAAGTCCATATACACAATATCATATTTATTACCATGATCTACCTCCTCAAACACCTTAGTGAAAAAAGTTAGTAAATTCGTAAGACAGGAACGCCCCTTTGTAAAACCGTGTGGAGATTCATTAATCAATCTGTGCCTATCAAGATGGCTACGAATTGCTTCAGCAATTATTGATTCCATAAATTTTCCCACTAAGGAGGTAAGGCTTATTGGTCTATAG